AGTTCCCAATCAGGGCATCAGAGACCCCAATCACCAGAGAAGGAGCTGCAATGACCTAGGCACAAAGGAGACACTGCAGTCTGTGTAGGCTTCTGAACCTGCTCTCCAGGTCCTTGACTCACAGCAGGAGGTTTCCTACTGGAGCAGAAGCTGAGCAGCTCTGAGCTCTGTCCAACCTCCCAAAGCTCACTAACAGGACTTGTTTGCTTTTTTTGTGAGCTTCATGTTGTAGGGAAATAAGTAAGTTACTCAGAGTCATGCTTTTAATCTTAAATTAGTGGTGGTAGTAATTACTTATCAAGACCCAATTTCACTCTGCAATGCATCTTGTTATTCCCCCTGAATCTCTACTGCATCTTTGCCATGCCATGCCATGCCATGCCATGCCATGCCATGCCATGCCATGCCATGCCATGCCATGCCATGCCATGCCATGCCATGCCATGCCATGCCATGCCATGCCATGCCATGCCATGCCATGCCATGCCATGCCATGCCATTCTGTAAGGAGTAAAACCTCACAAGGCCTAGATCAGAGGACACGTTCATCATAGAAGTATAATTACATTGGACTATACTGATACTTATTGACTTGAATGAATTATCCCCAAAGATACAGTCAGATGGAAATAAATGTCATAGCAGCCAACTTTCAGGAAAAGTTCCTGAAGTCAAAACTCCTGAGTCACAATCTCAATGAGGTATGATGATACCTAACATGTGAAAGTTTCTTTATGAATCTATAAATGAGTACTTCTTCATCTACAGCCCTCTGATTGAATGTTCTACTGAATAAAAAGACATCCTGAAGACATGTTGGAAATTTCAGACTGCATTGGGAAACTAGTGAAAAAGTAGAAACTAGTGACACTGCAAGAGATAGTTGATCAGCATATAAAAATTATAAATTGGACATAAATTCTGCTGCACCATAATGAAAGAGGAAATTGGACCTCACAGTTTATTTTCTACTGTAGTGGACCCTGCTGGCTGCCACAGGGCAATCTGTCTACAATAACATTAAACCTAGACCAAATGAAAAGGCCTTCCTTGCCAAATGTGAGAAGTCAGCATTTTCAATCAGGTTTTTCAAGCTGCAAAACAGAATAGATGAAAATTATATGATGACCTGATCACTATTTTCCTAGGTTTATTTTTGGCAATAGGTTCTGACATCAGAACAAGGACCATAGGGCTTCATTCACTGAAAAAACTCATTATTAAAAGTACTGAAACATGGATAAAAATAATGAAGAAAATATCACTCTTCCAGGCTGTGAAAAGTCTTCCATAATGGAATGTTATAAACTCTAGTCTCCAGTTTACAATGGAAATCTAAAATTTGTGAGATTTTCCCAGGCCATAGGCTGAAATCTGTGTATGTACATACTTGTTGCTACGTATTTTCTCTTTGTGCCTGCTAACACGGAGTCTGAGATAGAAGAAGTCATATCCTAAGGGCTGGCACATAGTGAGGCAGCTGCTTGATGTCTTTCTCAAGATGGTTCTATTTTCAGCATGCTTCAGTCTCCTCTCCATGGGAAATGTCAGCACTGCAATACCTTGCCCACCCCACATTGCTGAGCAGGACATTCTGTATCCAGGGTCTGTGCTCCCTCTCCTCTTTTTGAGTGTGCTGTGCTTTGCTCTCAGCTGCAGCAGAGACCAGCCCTGCAGTGATAGTAGCAGAACTAGGAGACAGTGGTGGGCAGGATCTATTTAGTTTTTCTTTTAGCATTAAGGCATTGCTGCTGCTTTCAGTACACCCTTTCCTAAGGACTAGCAGCCAAACAGCTGCCTTGCCATATGCCTCACTCTTGTCGCAAGAGTGAGTCCACATCCTGCACAGCACGACATAAAAAAAAAGAAAACAAATTTCAAAAGTGCTCTACTGAGTAGACTGGCTTTTTCATTTGCCCCTGGGAAGGCAAAGATTTGCAGTTCCAAATGTGAGGGAAGAGAACCCCCAGTTGTCACCGTAGGAGAAGCATCAGACATCCCTCACTCTTCTTTCATTGTCTCAAGAGTTGTTACATACTTCCTCTGTCTGAACTTTATAAATCATAACTTTCATCTTTCTGCTCAAAGCAGAACACTCCCTTATTTTTACAGACATGGGGATGCTGTGATTTTAGCTGTTAAAATCAGAAGGCACATTTTGTTCTCATATGGTACATGTAAAAACCATGATAATTTGCAACTAAATTTTCCTTATTAGGGACGTGCAGAATGTCTCTTGTATCTCATCTTTCAGGGAAACTGAATTGAGTATCTTTTCAATATAATATACCTTCATATTTATCATTATAATATCTTTATATCCATATATGTATGTAACTTAAGATTCTGGAAATCACTTCAAGTGCTCTATATGTGAGTTGTATTTCAAGAGTTGACATACTGTCCATGAGGGAATGTGAGCTACAATAGGTTACTGCTTTTCTCGTTTCAGTAAAATTACCTTGGATTTAATTACAATGGGTTGCAGGTTTTTGCCAGATGGCACAGAGAATCCTTAGCAACTAGCCGTTTAATAAAGAAACCTGTTTCAAGAAACACTTTTTCTTTCAGACAGGACAAAAGCTATTAGTTCATAATGTGAAAACTAAATAATATTTCCTTTAGTATACATGAAACTGATTTTCTGACCCCAGCCTCTCTTACTAAATGGTACTCTTGAAGTTTGTTTTTTGATGGGATCATTTCATGCATTTTACCATTTGATATACAGAATTTTGACAAGGTTTTTAGAAGATAAAGTCTGTCTAGTTTCATATGTAGGCTCTAGAATTGGCTCTGTCATATACAGGCTTCTGCTAATGGCAGTACAGACCATGGCCTTTGGAATACAAGAGCTTTCTTAGATCATGACTAAGAGGTCAAGTTATAATCTTAATGAATTTTTAAAATAAAAATTATTCAAATAAGTAATTTGGTTTATGAATGTAGTTAAAATATCCAAGGAAAGTTTTCTTACTGATGACTATATTCAGAAAAATACCAATATTGGCTTTTGTAGCTTTTCTGTATTCAGTGTTGTTGTGAGACTAGATTAAACGGTTTGCAATCAAGAATTTTGGTCATTAATGGCATTTCACACATACACACACAAACATATCAAATTCCAATCCTTGTCTCCAATGATCAATTTTTTCTTTGTCTCTCTTGTGTTTCAGTTGCTGACAAGGCAGCCTACCTGATGAGTCTGTACTCAGCAGACCTGCTTTGACCCTATGTTATCCTTGAGTCAAAGTTGGGAATGACTTTGTGACCAAACCTGTGTTACAAATTCCCTGATTGTCTTAAGGGAATTAGGGCAAACTCCTCTAACAAGGGGAGGTGGCTGATAGCCCAGATGAAGTGCTTCTCTACCAGTGCAGCACTGTGGCAAACAGACAGAAGGAGCTGGTAGCAACTGCCCAGGCAGGAGCTATGGCCTGACTGCTACCACAGAAACTTGTTGGGATGGACTGTATGATTGACATGTGCTGTGACTGACAGTGGTTGGAATAGTCAGGGAAGGGATAGTCAAGGAAGGAGAGATGAGGGAGTTGCCCTGATGAGATGCATCCCCAGATCCTGAGGGAATTGGCTGATGAAGTGGATAAACCACTATCCCTCACATGCAACAAGTCGTGGCTTGATGAAGTTCCACTGACTGAAAACCCCCCATTTTTGAAAAGGGGCAAAAGAAAGATCCAGGGAACAACAGGCTGGTCAGTTTTCCCTCTGCATGGCAAGATCATGGAGCAGATCCTTCTGGAAAATATGCTATGGTACATTTGCTGGATGATCGCACATAGAGTTGTGGTCAATGGCTTGAATTTCAGGTGGAGACCAGTAACAAGTCGTGTTCCCCAATGAGTTGTTTTGAAACCAGATTTTACATATTTGTCAAGAACATGGACAGTGGGATTGAGGACACTGTCTGCAAGTTTGCTGATAATACCAAGCCATGTGTTGCAATCAACACACTGGAGGGAAGATAGATTCTGGTTGGATATAAAAGTGACATTTTTAAAAAAGAGGCCAGTGAGAGATATGCCCCAGAATGAGGGAATGCCCCTGGGATCACTGAAAGTGTGCAAGCTCAGGTTGAATGGGGCTTTGAGCAACCTGATCTAGTCAAAGATATTCCTGCCCACAGCAGTGGTTTTACACTAGATGATTCTTTTAAGGTTCCTTCCAACCCAAACCATTCTGTGATTTGTCCTCTAAGTTCTGTATGTCTTTGGAAATCAGAGATTGCACAGACACAGGACTTCTGATGCCCCCCTGCGCTCACTGTTTTACACAGGTTGTTTCTGAGCTCCTCCTGTTCAGGACAGAGGGTGTTTCCACCAGCTTCCCCCTGCCCTGCACAGGGAGCCCAGGGCTGAACTCTGGCTTTGAACTCCAGAAAGTTGCATGCTTATCCCTGGAACAAGCTTTTCATGCCTAGGCCAGTGATTGATGTTGGGTATCTCCTTGGATCACATTTACTGACCTTGTCCCTCTGCTTTCACTGGGCTTTACCCACTGAGCTCTTAACAATCAAAACACCAATGACCAGGAGAAGAGCATGCTTAAAGGGGTTCCAGTGGCAGTGATATTTGTGATGGGATGGAAATGCTGGACTGAGGATGTATCAGAGTCACACCACAGTCATGCAATAAAAATCTGCCTTGAGTACACGGGTAAACCATTGGAAATGCAGTAGTATAGTTCATTCGTGCTACATCCAAATTTTCCAAATGCCTCGACTAACTGAACTTCTGTCCTTATGTCTCTAGACAAATTATTTATAGTCAATACATTCACAGCATTGGTAAGATACAAAACATTTCTAAATATATCCTATTAAATCAAATGACAATTTTGCCCTTAGTTCAGTTTGCCAGACAATGCCTTGCCAAAGAATGTTTGCCAAAAAATGTTTTGACCGAAGAAAGGGGAAGAATCCAGAGCATCTGCCAACCAGACTCTATAAAAGTGTCTTTGCAGCACTCTGCCCTGTCTACTAGAAAAGTTTCAAGGTAAGTGCACTGGACCTAGCTATTAGGTATCCACATTATTGCATATTATGCGTATATATTTTTTCCTTTGAAACTGGTTTCCAACTAAATTTTTCCATCTTCTTTTAAGGCTATAGCAGCTATTCTATTTATACCTTTTTTTTTTTTTAGTTTTACAGTAGAATAAAAAAATTCCCTTAACATACTTCATATTCTCAAATATGACACTACAACCCATAAAGCCAAAGTAAAATCTCTACAGTACCATAAGACACAAATAAAAGAAATTTTTACAAGGTTATTATAAATTATGTAAGGATGAAATAATATTTTTCTCTTCTGAGTTTAAATAATTAAACACAAGGAAGGCAATTTTTAGTAGATTTAACAATTCTAGTAAGCACTCAATTTTAAAGCATTAGAAAAGCAGTCCTTGCAAGGAAGGTACATTAATGATCTATTCATGTTACATTTCTTTTCTCCCACAGGGTTCTTTGCTGATGTGCCTTCAGTAAAGTGCAGACATGGCCTCTGCAGATGCTGAGTTAGCTTGCTTTGGGGAGGCGGCTCCTTACCTCCGAAAATCGGAGAAGGAGAGAATTGAGGCCCAGAACAAGCCTTTTGATGCCAAGACATCTGTCTTTGTGGCTCATCCTAAAGAATCCTTTGTGAAAGGCAAAATTGAGAGCAGGGAATCAGGCAAAGTCACTGTCAAGACTGAAGCGGGAGAGGTGAGTCAAAAACAAGGCTGAAGGACAACATTTGATCCCCACTTTGAGCTTTCAGGTGATACACGTGAATCTTTCTGTTTCTTGGCAGACTCTGACTGTGAAAGAAGATCAAATCTTCTCCATGAACCCTCCCAAGTATGACAAAATCGAGGACATGGCCATGATGACCCACCTCCACGAACCCGC